CGCCGCCCGCCCGCGCCTCCGCCGGCACAGCCACGCCTCCTTCGCGCCAACTCCTCCTCCCGCCCTCCCGCGGCACGTAGGGGCGGGGCGCGAGCGCCAGGGGGCGGGACCATTGGTAGGCCTGGTGGGACGGAGTCGAGGGCGGGGCTTCGAGACTGGGCGGGCAGTAGGGATGGCCCACAGGGTTCCTTGTGAACCCCTCTGCTTTTTCTGGAACCTAGTCTCCTACTGAGCTCTGTTTTTGTTGGGTGGAGCTGTTTAAGGCCGCCTGGGGCAGGCTGGAGTCTTTCAGGTGAGGTAGGCTTGCCCAGCGAGTCCAGGGCTCCCGAAAGTCTCAGGCAGGGGATCAAACGGTATCTGTCTCAGTTCTCTTACCACTTTCAGACCTTTTCTCTTCTTAGAGAGACCTCATTCATCCAGGAATGCCTGGGAACCATGTGTCTCCTGTGTGTTCACAGAGGTTGTTCATATGCTGCCATTTGCAAATTTAGCTCTCTGAAAAAATAAAGGCATGTTTCTGTTAAGTATTAAAATCTAATCACTAAAACGGAAGGATATGATACTGGGAAGTGCAGGCTGCTTTCCAAAACGGTGTTTGGATCACATTGTGAAATGATAATTTAGTTAAAGATTAAAGGGCCTGATGTGTTACAAATGGATACCTGAAGCAGGAGTATTTGGTTAAACAAACCCGGCCATGTGGCAGTGATATGGTGCCGTGATACGTTGGATACTTTGACCCAGGGCTGTTAGTGATCCCTAAAGAATAGATCTTAACCCGACCATCTGGCCAAGGCTTCTGATTTGAATGCCGGCAGTCGGCGTCCTGATGTGAAATGCTAGGGATGTTAGGACCCTCACTACTACAACTGAAGGGCACCCCAGTCGGATGAGCTTCAACAAAAGGGGAGGGGAGTCCTGGTCCCTGGGGAATAGTTGCAGAATCTACCTTGCCTCAGGCAGGTCTGCATCCTCACCAAGGATGGCATGGGCTGAGCTGACCCTCTCCAGTCTGCTGCCAACTTTCTCTTAGTCAGCTCCATTTGCAGGCACGCTGATCTCACTTGGCAAGAATGCCCAGAGAAAAGTATAAGAAGCTAGAAAGGGAAAAAAGAAAGGAAGGCAGCAGGTAGATGAACAGAAGTGCGCTGATAGACCTGCACAAGTGCACACACCCCAAGATGACAGCGTCGGGCGACTGGTGATCAGACCGGCGAAAACACAGAGCAGGTGAAACGTCCACACAGCACCAGTGAAAGCTGAAGTTGGCACAGTCACTTTGCAGACTAGCTCCACGGTTCCTTGAAAGTTAAAGGTGTACTTGGCGTACATTGCAGCCATTCCACTTACGGGTACTCACCAGAGAGAAAAGAAAGCACAAAGCTCCAAACCCTCTACAGGGGTGTTTGTAGCTTTGTTGTAGTCAAAGACTGACAACCTCGAATCCATCAGTTTGGATTTGGTCTGAGTTTGTCCCCAAGTGGTTCAAGTGTTGGGAGCTCAGCCCTCAGGATGATGATATTTGGAAGTGGTGGTCTTTTCAATTTTAAGGCACTTCTTGGGAGGTCACTGAGGTACCACCTGTTGAAGGGAGGCGTGGGATGTTTGAAGGTCCCGAGTCAGTCATTGGAGGGCGTTATTACAGTAAGATCAATGCTGGGTCTTGTTCTCGCTGTGGCTCCCAGTCTCTTGATTACCCCCTTCTTCTGCTGTTATGATGCCATGTGCTATGAGGTCTTGCAGAGAGGACGGCCATGTCAGCACTATGCCCCGATGACTCCAGGACTGTGTGCCAAATAAAGCTCTTCTTCACAAGTACCTTGCTCCGGGTCTCTCATTTTAGCAACAGAAAACTAGTAGCGCAATAAGAAAACACTTCTGGAATCTTGTTGAGCCATGAAGGCAAACTATTTAACAAAAACAACGACAGAAAAGAAACTCAACATCAGTTCACAGCATGAAAGGCTCTGAGGAAAGAGAGAACATGCTGCATGATTCATATACCGGCTAGAAAATAGAAACTGCTCGTGTGCAGACTGTGTGGGGATGGAGGGAGGAAGGAACGGACTAAAAGGGGCACGAAGTACTTTCAAGGTGGGTGGTTGAAATATTGTTTGAGAGGTACTGATTGCACATGTCAAAAGCAAGAAAATGGTATGTTTTAAATATACAGTTTTGGGCAGCTAAATTATATGTCGATAAACTTAGGCAAATCTTCAAAACACAATAATTCTAAAGGAATATCTTTTTAACTTAAGGGATGAAAACGGGGTAGGGCAAGGTAAGGCAGAACTGAAAGAAGGCTAGCATTTGAAAAGGGTGAGAGGGGGCAAGTTAATAGGAAACCAGCCTGAGAGATAACCCAGAGCATATTGGACTTCCCAGAATCAACACGAACGTGGAGAGGTTGGTTACGGGCTTATTAGAGAAGGAACAAAAGTTTAAATAAATGTTCTTGATTCTCTAAAGATTAGAATTCTAGCTGACCGTTGAGTTACATGAAGACGGCAGAGGTTGTGTCATTCCAGCCAAATGCCACACGGAGTGGCCTTTGCCCCTTATAACCCAGTTCTCATTTAAGGCCTAGTCAGAGAGGAGCAGGTCAGAGACCTTTCACTTTTTAGTCAGCAGTTTCAAAGATAAAGAGTGACCAGGGAGAGGTGGTGGAAGTTTGGCCAATCCCCAGTTTCGATACCATGGTTCAGGCTCTGGGAGACGGTAATGAGTCAAAGTCTGGCTTCCTCTATTCCCAGAGCCCTTGGGCATCAGGGATGTAGACAAGAAGTTAGGAAGAGTACTGAATGTTAAAGAGGAGAAAAATGGGACTTGGCCATAAAATAATGATAGCATATTCTAAAGAACATTCCAGGGAAGGCAGGCTTAATGTCAAACTTGAAAGTAATGAGGAAATGATGTCTCAACCCACACACTCCCAGTTCCTTCAAAGCAAAAGTAATCCCCACTTCCCAAATCAATAATGTCCAAACAGCTTCTGACAGGGACCTTGGCACCAACCTTATGCATTGGCCAAGATGGATGTTGTGCTGAAGAACAGTGTATCAAAGCAACAAAAACTCCTATTTGTGTGACCTCGACAGTAGTTCTGTTCCCTGTGTTTGGATCTGGTGAAAGTCCTGGCTTTGTCAGGGCTCTGGAACGTTCTGTATCAGGTTTGCCCAATTGCAAGTCATTCCATGGGGTGGCAGAGAAGGACAACTGATAGGTACCTGGACAGTGTCCACAGAAGTTCCTGTGGCCTTCACACCCAGTTGTGGAATCTGCTGTGGACATTCAGCTTAAACTCCACCTAGCAACAAAGGCCTGTACTGGCTGGCTTTGTGTGTCAACTTGACACAAGCTAGAGTCATCAAAGGAAGGAGCCTAAGATGAGAAAATGCCTCCCTGAGATCCAACTGGAAGACATTTTCTCAATTAGTGATCAATGAGGGAGGGAGGGCAGCGCCCAGCCCATTGTGGGTGGTGCCATCCCTGGGCTGGTGGTTCTTTCTATATGAAAGCATTAGCAGTCTTATAGAAAGCAAGTCATGGGAAGTAGCCCCCTCCATGGTTTGTCTGTCAGCTCCTGCCTCTAGGATTCTGCCCTGTTTGAGTTCCTACCCTGACTTCCTTTGGTGGTGAATAGCAATGAGGAAGTATAAGACAAATAGACCCTTTACTCTCTCCCCCCAACTTGCTTTTTGATCATGGTGCTTTATCACAGCAATAGAAACCCTATCTTAAGACATGCCCCTACATCTCTGGATATCTGGTGCTCTGCCACAGCCCAAACTGAGGAGACTGTGCCTGCTGTCCAGGTAATCAGCTTCCCGGAGGCCTCCCCACCACATACCTCTCGCCATATTGTGGCTCCTAGCTGCTGGACTGGAAACATCTAGCTCCTCTGCAAGGAGCGGCCACCTGGGGGGGGAATCAGAGCAGCACAGCCCACTCACCTCCCAGGCCCAGCGCTGCGAGGCCTCTGGAACCTTCACAGAGCCCGGTAGAGACCCAAGGCAGAGAAGCTATTCGGCAGTGCCCAGGCACCCATAGACTATGAGAGAGGTCAGAGGTCAGAAGTCAATGCACATCACGGTGACCCCTCACAGCAGGATTATCACACAGTCTGTGACCTGGGCTTGTTTCCCAGCAAGAAGAGAGTTGCACAGTTCCCAAGGCAATCCTGTTCGCACACAGTAACACCCATCCCCTTTCTCTCCAGGTAGTGGTTTCCTTCAGGGATGTTTTTCTTTGCTTTTCAGTTCGGCCACAAGATGATTTCAAGCGCTCAGGGACTTCCCCTTGCAAACTTGCAGAGGATGGTTGGTGACAGGCGCATCTGCCAGAATAATGTGTCAGCTCTGAGACAAGAACCACGGTTTTGTTCACCACTGTGTGTTTTGTGCTTTCTACAGGACACGGACATGGAACAGAATAGAGGGGACATGAGGGGAAGGGGGAAACAGAGGCAGCTCAGTCTCTGAAGTGCCCAGCCTCTCTCCTCG